CTTTTTTTTTTTTTCCTTTCCCCTCCTTCCCCCGTGTCCTACCAATCTAGGCTGCCTGGCACATGCTGCAAGCTGCGGTCCCACCGGAGTGATATTGTGATGGAAATGAGGGAGGGGATGCAGGCAGAACTGCACAGATTTACAGCACTCTGAGGGTTTCCATTAAAATCCTTGACAACTTGTTATTTATGAGTAGACCAACAGCTCTTCTAATATCCAGGGCCTAGACCCCATTCACTTCAATAATGCTGGTTTGGAATAAATGAGCCAGAGGATGGAAACCAGTTCTGTTAGTATAATGGAGGAGGCTAATAGCTGTTTAGAGAAAACAACTGATGTAATTCTGGGACCCAATCCTTTCACCAACAAAACAATAAAGGTTCGATTCTTCACTGCATTTCACCTAGTGATTTAATTCCGTACAAAGAGGGTGATAAATGGCAGCGTTTGGGTTTCGTGCCGTTAGATACCCACTAAGCGCTCTCTATTTGTACCAGTGCGCCAGCGAGAAAGGGGCTCGTTGACTCCTGTGCAAGCAGGGACAGGTCAGTCTGGATCTCCACGGCAGAACAGAGATAAACAATGTGTTCTTACAAAATAATACAAGCGACAAAAAAACCCTCCGCGTAAGTGTAATACCTTCATTTTTCAGTCTCATGGGGGCCTGTGGGCATTTCCTTCCCCAGATTTTTCTGAGCTGCCCCACCTAAACCAGTGCAGCAGCCTGTCTTAAGTGTCATTTTAGGACATTTTTTCCACTATTCCCTGCTCTGCTCTCTTCCCCTTCCCATGCCAAATACAGAAGCACCTCCACGTACGAAGTAAGCGCAGGACTGATCCCTGAAATAAGGGCTTCGATGATCAAAACACTTTAAACCCTAGATGTGCATTTTGCTGCTGTAAAGAATTATTGATCTCTTCTACTGTGTCTTAAAATCAAACTGACAAGTTGATTACCGAGGATAACCACTCAGCTGCTGCCTTGTACACGGCTTTCCTTTTCCTCTTTTATTCACCTGCATCTTGTCTATTTACGTGCCTTTTGTCAGGAATCTTTTTATTTCCTTTCAGCCTCCTCTGCTCTCCACAGGAGCCTCACTAAGGTGAAGGGAAGAGAAGCAGGAGCGGCGCTCCCGGACTGCGTTGCTGGGGTGAAAGGCAGGAGAGGCAGCACTGCCCGACGGACACTGCTGCGTGCCTCTGCCTCCCCCTCGTCCACACCCCGAACCTCGGCACTGTCATTTTGGAGGAGACTGACAATGCTGAAGCTCCAAATTGTTCTGCAGGAAGAGGAAAGACGACATGGATAGATGAAGAGGAACCAGGAGGAGAACGGGTGGAGGGAAGAGGCTGATCAAGCGAGGAAGGGGACTGTGGCTGTACGGTTGGGAATCGCTTGCTGAAAGAAGCTGAGCCACCAGTCCGTTATTTCAGCCGCCTTCCAGATATTCGGACTTTAAGGGCTGAAATCGTTTGGGTATCTGGAATCTGTAACCGTCTCCCTGTGGCCAGTCTCTTTTTTTCCTGCACCAAAAAAACCTTTTCCCAGGCAAAACAATGTTCTTTCCCCTGAAACGAACAGGCATCAGTCGGTACGTGATGCCCCCTGTGACCGTAGTTAGCAGCGTGTCTTTGCAGCTGAGAGGTGTCACCATGTTTTGTGTTTTACAGGTACAGAAACATACCCGTTAATTGGAAAATGATGTGCCATGGACAGGGACAGAAATATTCAAAATATACTCTGTGTGAACGGAAGAGAAAGCCGAAGGGAAGAACCAACGTCTTGGAAAAGGAAGGCAAAGGGTCTGACAAAAATGAGGGAGAAGCAAAAGGACCAAGCAAAGGGAGAAGAGCTCTCCGAGGCTGGGCGGGTTTGCCTGGATGAGGGAACAGAAAACGCTACGCTGCATCGGAGCAGCGATCGCTCACGGAAAGCAAACCGGGTCAGTTCCTAAGCTGGACTGAACTGATAAGCCCTGTAAAGGTTTAAAAAGAGAAATATTCACAGAAATTTGGCCCACAAAGTATGACTTCTTCCCTTTAGATACATTTCTAATGAATGTCCATTCAGATGCTACATGAGTTCGGGTATAAATTGTGCCAAATCCCTACTGTCCCTTTTGAAAATTTATTTCAAGGTCCTTACCCAATACATATCAATGTAATATTGGATCTCATCCAAAGTATAACTATATCTAATTATCAGCCATTTGAGCTACTTCTGTATTAAACCATAAAATTGAGATAGGATTGAAACCTCTTATGATTCCAAAGGCTAAATGAAGCAGTAACATAAATAATGCTGTAAATTACAAGCAAAATGAAAACTTGGTCAGAAAATATATGATGTAATTTGTGCTTAGGGGTAAATTGGTCCCTGGCTGCGCAGGACGGGGGAGGTATGACCTGCATCAGGCCGAAGTATATGGCTGGGAGTCTGAATCTGTGTCATTATTACAGAAAAAAGAAGACATACCTCAAAATACTTCAAAAAGCCAGCATCCTCATGAGATTTATTGAAGTCTGACCCCCTCTGCTGGTCACCCGCTTGCTGCCTGCGTTCCAGGGCCGGCACCTCAACGTAGGCCCTGAGATTTGTAGAAATGATAGGAGCAGGCAGGTGGAAAATGATAGGTACCGGTGTAAAAGGGATGGAGAGGCAATTGGGGGGCACCGACACTTGGCACCGGTAGCTCAAGGACATAGATAGCATCGTGACATAACTCTAAGCCCAGGTGATGGCGTTTGGGTTTAGGATACGAGCCGCTAAAGCCAGTACTAGCAACAGTCTGAAAAGGAAAGCGGTCTGATAACCGGTGTTTTGGTGAACTACCAGGGTTTTAGTAAAAATTGCTTTTGTGTCTCTCCATGTTTTATCTGCTTCTGTCAAGATGCAAAGCAGTAAAAGAAGAAAAATGTAATTTAGAATGAGGATGTATGGGAAAAGGTTGGGGGGGGAAACCGTTTTCTTGAAAAACAATGGGATTTTTCCTGAGGAAACAAGTGTTCAGTCAAAAATGAGCCTCATTTTGATGGAATGTTCAACTATCCAAACTGGGATAAAGCTATGCCTGGAATGTTGAGATACACTATAATAATCAATAATATCAAAACATGTACAATACCAAGTATTTTTTAAAGAATATTTTATCATCCCGAGTGAGGAAGTTTCCAGCTTTTTCTCCTAGCCTAGGGAAAAAAGGTGTCGATATGCCAGACGTTCCTATGACAGAGAAGAAATTCAGCCAGCTCTGGGTTTTTAGATCAGCGCTACTGGGAACGGATACAAACAAGTAGGTCCCATACAGCTCATTTTACTTCCCTGGTCCGTTCTTGTTATCCCATACTATCCTTCGGCCTTCACACCGTATTCCCATGCTGTGAGGAGCCACTGAGCATCAGCCAGTTACGTACGTGCTTTCTGTTAAAACAGAAACCGCCTCACTACCCGTAGGGATACCACGGTGCATGCTAGAAGTTATTCAGAGGCGTGCTTAAGTACTGTGTTAGACAGAAGCTTCAGCAAGTAATTGAAAGCCTGCAAATAGCTCCCTTAAGACCCCATCAATTCCTCCAATTTATTTCTTTAAGAATGAACAGACATAGACATCTTTATCAAAGATTTTCTCCGTATAGCTTTTATTTTTGTTCACTGTTATTTTCTTTCACATTTTTTTAAAATAATGCTTACCAGTATAGTACAGCTCAAGACAGAAATACTCTATTTAAAGCCAGATTGATAAGACGTTTGTGTAGAATCAAAACAGTACAACATTTTGAAGTCTTTGTTACTCTAAATATTCTTAAAACTCTATATAGAGTTTCTTAGGATTTCCTATTGCTTCAG